TTCTAAAGGAAAATGTCACGACATTTGTCTTTGAACGGAAAGACAAAGCGGGTCATGCAGTGAGTAAACCACCCTGATTACACAAATTGTTCAAACAAGAAACTGTTAAAGAAGAAGAGAGTAAACACTCTGGAGTGGCCAAGTCAAAGTTCAGATTTTAAGCGAATAGAAACTGTTGTGGAAGTGAGAAGTTCATGTGAGGAAATGCCAAAAAGCCCAGAGCTGAAGCTGTTCTGTCCAGACGAATCGACTAAAAGTTCCTCCTCGTCGATGTGCTCGTCACCAGAAAACGTTTAGTTGTTGGTGTACAAGGAGGTCACAAAAGACACTGAAGATACCACTCACAGATGGGCAACACTGGATCATTTTACTCAATCAATAAATTACCAACTTCAACATCTTTTGTCTAATTGAACAAGGCGGATTCTCTTTATCTACCTTAAGGACTTGAGGAAAATAAGTGACATATATATATATATAAAGAAATAGAAAAACTTCTCAAGGGTTCACAAACTTTGAAGCACGACTGCGAGTGCGGCTCTGCAGAACATTCTGTTAGCGTGCAGCTGAGCCAAGAAACTTTTGGACACTGAGCAATGGTGTTCACTAACCTTTAGGTGACCCAATTGGAGCTTCGCTGTGGGACTTCACCAGGCGGCTATCAGTGTAAGGGCTGCTCTGGGAGGCAAACGACACCTCTGGGCTGGTCACATCTCCCTCCTCCGCCCTGTCCTCCTCCTCTTCCTCGTCCTCCTCTTCGTCCTCTGCCACCACCACCACCTCCTCCTGTGTGTCCTCTTCTCTTTGATCCAGCTCCGTCGTGTCATCCTGCCTCTGTCTCTCCTGCTGTTTGCTGTGATTCTCAATCACCTGTGCAGTCGACAGAGAAACGAGTTGCATCACTTGCGAGTTTTGCTCATAACAGAGAGGAGTTTTAAGCCTCTGAACCCCAACGCTTCCTGGTGACTTTGATAAAGTGTGATATTTCATCAATATCACTTTATTCTACACGGCTAATTTAAAAAAAAAAAAACAACCCAAAATAAGCAGTTTTCTCTACCCAGATTTTGGAGAAAATAAAATATGATGCACTCTTTGGCGACTTAACAAAAGCTCAGGGACTTTTCAGAGAATTTAAAATGTATGCAAACTTGTGGGCACTTGGAAAAATGTGGTACATGTTGATTCAAGGTTTAAAAAAATTATAATTCAAATAAATGTAACTTTCACGATGTATGGCATTATTATTGTTATACAACACAAAACACATTTCTGAGTTATCGCTACTTCTGGTCGTGGTTGCGCCGTTTACATAAAGGTGCAGAACTTTATACTGCAGCGAATGATGAGTCCACAGTGAGTAGAAATGTGACAAAAAATGCCCTTAAACTGCTGCATGTTCGGGAGGTTAAACCCAACGTTAAATATGACATATGTGTACAATTCACTTCAGTCTGTGAGCTTAGCTAGCGACCTGAGAGACTGTGCATTAACAACTTCCTTAAGATTGTTCATAAATGTTTCTCTGAGTTTTAACATTTCTGCAGAGAGTGCATTAGTAACTGCATCACAAATCTTTTTAAACTGTCCTAAAGGCAGTTAACACAATACTTTAATTAACAGTGTTTAAATTCTTTCAAAAACCTGCACTGAAATTTTAAAAACAGAAAAAAACATATACACTTTTTTCTATGCAGGCGCAGGAAAACTGAAAGTAAACGTGATATAAATTCATGAAAAAGACTTGAACTGTGTGCCAGAAAACCATGCATCAGATCAACCATTTGATATCTAAATGGTCTTCCCTTACAACTTGTTTCTCATTCACAAATTCATACACCAATGGTGACAGAACCGCCATGCAAGGTGCTGCCTGCCATCGGGAGCAACTTCAGGTTCAGTGTCTTGCCCGAGGACACTACGACTGTGGAGGGGCCGAGGATCGAACCACCAACCCGCTCTACCACCTGAGCCACAGCCGCCCTCACATCTAGCTTTTCTTTTACCTTATTGGCTGTCTCCATGACGACCTCGATGTTGAGATTCTGCGCGGCCATGGCCAGCAGCTCGTCGTCGTCATCCCCGACGTCCCAGGCGTCGCTTGTGATGCTCTCAAACTCCTGGAAAGTGGTCGCCTTCTTGGGTTTGCCTGGTGTGGCCGGAGGCGGTTTGTTGCCTGCTTTAATTAGACTGGAGGACGGAGAGCGAGCAGAGGAGATAAGGGGAGGGGGGGAAAGGGAAAAAAGAGGATGAGATTAGAAGAATTGAGATAAAAGGTTGGGGATGGAGGAGCAAGAAAGGGGAAAAAACAAAAGAAATGAACATGCAGGGACGGGGGGAGAAAACGAGATAAGGTAAATAACCAAAATGATGATAAGGACAAAGATGAAAAGTGGATCCTTTTGACACTGGCAGGTGGGCAGATAAATGAAATAACCCCTCGGACAAGAGAGGAGCTTAACAATTAATTAACATTTGGCCTGTGAAATATTTACAGTTTACACCATGGCACGGGCTTTGAAAAGAATCATCAGCAATTCATAAACACACAAAGTTGAATGAAAAGGTCAAGCACCTCCGGACAGATCACAGAGTAAATACAAACTCCTGCTACTTCTTCATTTCATTAACTTAAAAAGTAAACAGCAGATAAATAGCAACAGTGGCACGGGGGGGAAGAAAAAGTTTCAGTACTAATCAGTACCTCGCAAACCCCCCCTTTGGCAGATATCTTAGCTTAGAATACTTTTTTGCATCCAGCTAAGGCCGGCTAATACTACAGGAGTTTAAAAAACAGACTCTGAAATCGGCTTGCATCACACACACACACACACACACACGAAGCAGAAACCTCACAGATATTCTTCCCTCTAATCTCAGACAAACTCCGAGAGTGGAAAATAATGGCACATCGCACACTGCAGGATGTTATTAAGTTTATCGTGCCGGAGGGAGCAGTCGGGGAGCGGAGCAGCAGCATCTCGTGATCTCATGGGGACGCAGATGTAAACAAAATGAAGACACTGTGGAGCAACAACTCGCTCTGATAATAGTTTGCATGGAAAAGAAAATGTGGAGAGCAGTTCGGGATCTTTAAACGCTTATGTTACTATATAATACGGGAAAAAATCAAGTCAGACCAACATCCAAGACAAGATTTAAACATAAATCAGGCAGAAGCTCCATTAGTCTGAGCCTGTCCGTTCGTAATTTCACCTACTCTTCACTTCGAGATATGTTTATGCTGTCCTGCATATACAGCAAGTTTTCTATTCAGGGATATTTCATGAAACTTCCCCTTGTGTTTCTTAAATCACCTCATGGAGCCTTTCAATCATTGTTCTGTTACAGGAAGTCATCTTCCTCCTCCTCTGATTCCTCTGCCAAAGGCGACCAAACAAACCCAAAGCGGAAACATTTCCAGCCCCCATGCTGAACAGTCGGCAAGGTGTTCTTTTCATCAAATGCGCCTCCTTTTTTCCTCCAAACACACCTTTGATGAATTCAGCCAAAGAGCTCAATCTGAGCTCACCCTCTCGTTTCCGATGACCCTGTTTGTGCATCGATGTGGCATTTCCATATAAATATCAAGCGAATTTGAAGTTTTGAAACATTGCAAAAAAAAAAAAGTGAGAAAACACGATTCAGGCCTGCTTTAGAGAATAAAACAGGCTGTGTTTTGTGGTCAGAATGTGGTGGTATAAGCTACATTTCACATGGCTGTAATAAACAGAGTAAAAAAAAAAAAAGCCGGAAACAAAACCACTTGTTTGGCAACCTCTAAAAAAAAAAATAAAGCAGAAGAAGAACCAAACAAAACTTTGTCCATTTAGAGAAACAGAAGTCTTCAAGAATCGTTCTCAACCGGGAAAGTTGCAGTTATTCTGTCATGTCAGCTGGTGTTTGTCACATTTTATGCTGTCCAGAGTTAAAAACAACTAAAAAAACATCTGAAACAGCTCATCATTCATGTCCACACTTATTGGAAAAATGTGTTTCTAGCCTCTATTATTTAAAAAAACCACTTCAAGAAAGTTTAAAAACTTCTTTTTGCGAAATTATGGACATTTCTTTTCAAATTGTGCTTTTTCCATCAATTTCAGAACACATGATAAAAACACAGCTGGTGGTAGATGAACCTTCCTGCTGTAATATTGGGTTTTCGCTTTTATCCTCTGCATCGCATAAAAGCACTTTTGTCTGGAAGTTTTCTTCCAGCATATTTATCAGCTCTGAACTGTGCTCAACTGATAACTCCTAACAATAATTCTTGACCTGCCTTACAAAACAGCTCTGACACCATTTTTCGTGTTCATGAATAAAAAGGCAACAGTGCAAAAACATTTGAAGACGGGCGATTTTTTTAAATGTGTGAGGCTGAAGTTATATTTTTCTTTTCGCTTCAAAAAATCAACAGGATGTGCCATTCGGTGTCAAGACTTTTGTGTAAGTGTAGTTGTGTGACGCACCACCTCGACACACACACACACTCCACGTCTTAAACACTTGAATCAGAGGCAGATCTCTGACACCAAACAACACAGAGTCTGGCATTGTTCAAAAGACAAAATTTCACTGAGTTGCTTTCTTTGTGCTGCAAGGACACCGTTTCATTCAGCGCGAACAAGAAATGCAACAGACGAAACGAGAATTCAATTAAACTCAACCTTTTTTCCGTTTTATCGCGCTACGAGGAAAAAGGGAGAGGGAAAGGGAGAGGTGGGGGGTGGAGGGAGGCAGGGAGGCGCTCTGATTTCTCACAAAGACAAGGATTACCATAATAAAGAAGAGAGAGAAACGTGTCCATATTAGCTAACTTCCATCATAACTTAGAAGAAAAGAGCAAATCTGAACTTATACCCTGACAAAAAAAAAAAAAAGAAAAACAAGCAAATTAAATTCAAGCCCCGGTGGAAATCTACGTGATTAAACATCAATCAGAAGAAAGAAAAGGATTATTACTGAATAAAAGACTGTTTCTCTCGCTCGCTATCTGTGTGTGTGACTGAGAGACAAAATAGGCTCAATATTGGTACATTCAGTGACAAGTTATGAAAGGAAAGCAGAAATATTTCACCAGAGCCACAATAGTTAATGAATTATTCTATAAATTGTCAACAATTAAATTAATTGCCAACTATTCTGCTAATCTACCTGGTTTGAATATGTGTTTTTAAAGAAAAAAAGCAAAATTCTCCCATTCTTGCTCATTAAATCTGAATATTTTTTAGCTTCTTTCCTCCTCTGTTATAGCAAACTCAGTATTTCTTTCTGGTTGTGGACAAAACAAGACAATTAAGGACGTATTCTTGGGCTTTGGGAAACACAAATTGACATTTTTCTGACCTTTTATAAACCAACTAATCAATTAAATGAGAAAATTGATCGACAATATAAAAATAGTTGCAGCCCTGAAATTCACAAAGATTCTGTACCCACTGTAAATCTCTTGATTCAACAGGTTTCCTCTCCTTTTAACTGTATATAAAATACAGTTCAAATGTTTTTTGTTTTTTTTATACTGCTGCATTCAATCAAATTTTATTCACTCACAAATTCCCCACCATAAAACATGTTTTCAACTTCCTCTTGAATTCTTAGATCACGTAACATCCAGTTCGCGCCGAACAGGACTTTTCCATTAAGCTAAAATCAAACAAACTGAAACTGCGCTCCATTTCCTTTAACGTGTTAACCCCGCCATCAAACAACTAGATCTTCTGGTAGAGTCACTTCCTCTGAAGCGACAGATTAGGAAATGCCACGTAGTGCACACAAAAGCTCACCAGAATCACACCATAAGACCTGACATATGACGTTAAACACAGTCAAGCACTTTGCCACGTCCCAGTCCATGTCGTCACTGTTGGTGTGTACTCATCACTCATGCATCGGGAAAACAGACATTTCCACATTCCTGGCTGGGATGTGGCTAAAAATAGAGCAGCTGTTTAGCAAGCCTCAGGGTTTTGCATTGTTGTTTTGTTTCAATGTCTTCTGCCAAATAATCACTCCTGAATGATACTAGTGATCAGGTGAGATGGAAGTAAACTAGGCAAATAAAAAAAGTACACGAAGCTCTGCCTTGTCCTCGTGTATTCTGATTTTTACAAGGGACAGAAAGTTCCACTAAGGTCAGGTAAATAGGCAACAGCATTAGCCTCTATAATCATATAGACAAAAAAGAGAAAGAAAATCTGGTTTATCTGTTTCATCTTATTTGTGAAAAGAGATTAAATCTGCCATTTGGAAGTAAAAAAAATCGTATATTTCAAATCTAAATTTCAAAGAGTGCAATTAGTAAATCACAAAGGACGCCATTCAGAACATAGATTATGCCGTGAATCTGATGCAGGAACTGTTCTGTTAACGTCTTCATACATTCACACTGTCCTCTTTTTGTGAGCATCATATTTTTGATAGTGTGTCATGTAGAGGTTCAGTTAGCCTTTAAAATGTTGTATCCCAAATCAAATTGCAATCACATATTTTCTCTTCAGCTCTACTTTCCTGATGACGAGATGTGTTTTCATTCAGTATTTTGAGTAGAAAACATCTGTCACATCACTTTTTAAAAGATATTTTGGAGGAAAGAATGAAGCTCTGGAATATCAACTTCAGCCAAAGTTTGCAGCCTAGTTTGTCAGCAGACACAAACAGGAGCTAAAGTTTATCAACTGGTCCAACTACTCCAACGAGATCACAGGGCTTTTTTCTCATTATGAGGAAGTACATTTAACTTACTTGGCGTGGAGGAGCGGGTCGAAGGGTGGATGTTGTGCGCCGTACACATGCTGAATGCTGAGGGAGTGAAGAAGAGAGAATGGAAATGAATGAACTAATCAATAACTGGCTGTCAAGAGAGTCATGTTAGCCTTTCACAGCAAATGCCTGTTAAAACTGCAGGAGTGCGACTAAGTGAGAGGAAAGGGGCGTTTATTTGTTAGCTGCTCGCAATATAAAACGATCGCTGCTATCATTATTTACAACTCTGTGACGATGTGGGAAAATTGTTGAACTGTTAGCCACTGTTAGCATCCTAGCTCTTAGCCAGCTAGCAACAGCAAGGTGTAAACTGTGTCTGCTAGGCTAATTAGCCTCAGACGCCGGTACACTGCAAAGGCTGAACCCCGCAAACTCTGGGCAATAACGCAGGGCCGTCATTGAAAGTGAAACTTGCGTTTGAAGCTCAACAGCGTCAGTGGAGTTTAGCTAGCTACAGCTAAGCTAGCCAACAGGAGGGAACACGTCACTTACCTGCCAGGAACCTTCGCTGCGTTTCTTTTCCAGAACTGTTTTTTGTTTCCGTCACTCGACATTTTCCCCCTGCGGTCCAATCACACATAAACTCAAACACTCCGACGCTGTCGTTGCCTCTAAACTGTTAAATTTGTGTTTATTTACACCAGGTCCCCTCCTCCAAAACTCAGAAAGCTGCCATGTTGATACTGCCTAATCGGCGAGTAAGCGCGGCCGCGATTGGCTGGTGCGACACTTCCTCGTTGAGAGCCAATCACAAGTGAGATCTGCTGCTAGGTGGCTTGAGAGGCAGCTGACGTCAGGCTCCGTGGTCTGTGCTTTGTTGACAGGAGCTGCAGACTGTGTGTCAATCAAAAGAGACCACCAGCATCAGGACCAGAGGCGAGGAGGGAAACTCTCACATTTAACTTTTACAGGTCCTGATGTATTTGCAGTTTACAACGGCAGTGAGTCTCTTAAATGTAAAAGTATTTTAAATTGCATCATCTGCCAGTAATTACATAATTTTTAAGTTGACAGGTGGAGTTTTTCCTCTCATGGACAATCAAACACAAACACTTTAGAAGGACTACAGTGAAAATACAGGCTCCAAAAGCTGAAACTCAATCCAATAAAAGTTAATACACCTGTGATCATGGGCACACAAGTTAGACAACCTGTGGTCACTTAAACAAAATTGAGCACACCAGCATAGAATGAGCCATGGCACCAGTAATCAGGGCCGTCATAATCACAGACAGGGTGCCACTTGTGACAATCTGGTTAAAGTAAGTGCTTCAAAACTGGTGCAGGATTTATCAGTGGAAATAAGAGTTTCTGGAACAGCCTCAGACAGTGTTAAAGGACATTGCAGAGCATCAACCCAAGAAAAAAAAACTCCTCCTTGCACTTCATAACAAAACTGCAGGATAAGACTTGGCTAGGTATTTGAAAAGCACCCTGATGCATCTTATGAGCACATTCTTTGGACAGATAAGACCGAGATGCACTTGTCTGGCTCCGATAAGGCCAGGAATGTTTAAACCTGATGAATCTGGTCAGGACGACCACAGTGAAGTCCTGACAGTGACGTATGGAGGTGAGAGTGTGATGATGTGGAGGTGCATGAGTGCAAACGCTGTTGGTAAGGACTGTAAGGGTTTCTGTGTCTGGAAATATGTATTGTTGCATTCTTTTTCAGACAAAAGTTTAAAAAGATGGCGCCAATAGAAATACTGCCACACAAGTATCGTGTACAAGAAGATACCAGTGTGGTATTTCTATCTTTAACTATCTGATTATGATTTGCAGGTAAGCTTGTGTCATGTCATAATGCCATTTTCTGATGTGATTCCATCTTTTAAAATGCAATCGGGTGTAGTTTAGGCTTTCAGCTTATGAGACATCCACCTGTTTTATTGGTCCCATGAACAAAAGAAGAAGCTTCACTATAACAAACTCCCTTTTAGTTTTCTTACTCTATTTGCTTTATCTTAAAAAAAAAAAAAAAAAAAGTTTCACCGGTGGTAGAACAAGTATTTAGATCCTTTGTTCAAGTAAAAGTACCGACACAACAATCCTGCATAAAAAACACAAATAAAAGAACAGAAGCATTGGTAGGTAAAGTAAAAAAGCATTGGTGGGGTCTCTGAATGATGCATTTAATGTCAGATTATTATTGAAGCATCAGTGTGTCAGCAGCATGTTGCTGCTGCTGCTGCAGGTGGAGCTAGTTTGACCTGCTTTATATCCAGTTTTATTTACAGGAACAGCAGGAAAATCTGAGGGTTTATCAGATGATTAATCCCATGAGAGGAGAAAAACAAAGCTCTGATTCACAAATCTGCTTCTGCTTTTTCTCTAAAGTGAGGTTTCTGGTTGGCTGTTGGGTCAGTCAAACATTTATTGAATTGAAACAGAAGTTTAGAGAATCAATGTTTGGTGAAGCTGTTAACTTTCTGACACAGTTTAATCAACAGCATCTTATGTAAAATCGTACTTTTTTAGGGTAACTAAAGCTGTCAAAAAGAATAATGCAGTAGTGAGAAAAGCGCAAAGTATTAGGGAAAGTAAAGCACTTTAAAAGTCTACTTTGCTGCAGTACTTGAGTAGTTTGAGCTACTTTCCAGCGCTGGTTTCCACTCAGCTATTAATAGGAGGACAAACACAGATTGTATGTTTTTAATTAATGCTGCTGTTTGCCTCATAAATAACCACTGGCTGGGATGTGACATGTTATCATCGCTTTAGTTTGGTCAGTGTGGCCCAGACGAAGTGTGTTGAGTCAGAAATTAAAGATCTCTTGTGTTTACGCAACAAGCTGCTGCAGAGTCTGTTCCTCTGGGTTCAAAGATATGAGAAGAAGTAGGAGCTCTCACTCTGTCGCTG